CAGAAGCTGCGTTGGTTGGGACATGTGTTACGTATGCCGAACCATCGTTTGCCGAAGAGAGTACTGTTTTCCATGCCCAATTCGGAGTGGCGTAAACAGCGAGGTGGCCAACCCTTGACTTGGCTGAGGAGTATGAAGGAGATCACGAAACGCTTGGGTGCTGTCGGTGCAACTAGCCTTCCAGGATGGGGACCGCGTGATCCTCACTGTGCCTGGTTGGAGACACTACAGGATATGGCTGCCAACCGGTGTCAGTGGCGGTCTTGTTGTCAGTTTCTATCCAGATTGCCTGAGTGAATGTCTGGAGGTGTAGGCACCTCGGAATGATTGTGTTAAGCTAGCACTAAGTCCCTCTCCCATCCATCTTTATTCTTTTCCTCACAATAAGGCTTTCAAAGAAGTCATGGTTGTACGGTAGTGAGGCATCGGTGTTGAACATTGATGTCATGCTGTCAATGATGATGATGATGATAACTCCGAGACGGGTCATATCAATGGTTAGATACATTGTCAGACATGCCCAAATTGGGACCTCAATTGCGCTCGTGCATCCAAGCTATTGGCTTCAATGCATAGCTTCCTTCCCAGTATTCCCACTTAGCAGTTCACTGACAGTGTTGTATTTACGCATCCAATGTCAGCTCCCGCCTCCAATGCGCAGCTACCTACCTCACCTCCCCAAATCACCGGTGGATGAAATTGTGGCAGCTACAACTACTGTATGACAAGCACGCGGTTCTTACAGCTGATAATGGTAATGATGAACTGCTAGCCACGATAAACATTGTTTGCAGTATGCATTTCATGATTGTGCGTGATCTGCCATGATGCGAGGGTGTCCACATTTAGACAGAACGATTAGGGTCCTCAACCAAAGCCCATCTGAACATGTTGGCCAATATTGGCCATTCTCTAAGGTTCAGCAATCATCACCATCAGTGTTGACACATGCTTCACTGCCGTACACCCGTAAATTTCACCTAATTATATTCAATACCTTAGAGTAAAAAGAAGACAAAAAGAGTGAATGAGAAAGTGGACCTTGTGGTGACCTACCAGAAGCATCCGGAGATGCCTAAATCTCCACGCGACACTTGAGAACCAGTGACATGCTTTTTTGACGCCACAAGTGACGCAGATTAGCAAACCTCATTCGGACCTTTGAGATTCTTGCACTAGCACACCTCTGTAGAGATAACACAACTATTGGGGTATGTAAATTTCAACACAACCTTTATTGATGCCCCTTGAATTGCAAGGGGAACAAGTGGCTGATTAGCAGTGTGATTAACTCGCTGATGCTAATACCACAACCTCGAAGACAATTTCTTGTTAGTTCGTCACATGTAAATTGGACCTGCACGATAAATTCCTCATTTTCGACTGTATAGTCGCCGAATGGCGCGGTAGGTATCACAGATTTGTGTCAACAACACTCTCATCACATTCATGTGGTGACCGTGTAAGTCGCCGGGAATCTTACTTGACAAAACATTACACCTTACACAGAGGCGGAGAGCGACTGGAACAAGCACTTAAAAACGCTGTCGCAGAGCATATAAACCAAATTAACGTTCTATTCATTATTAAAAGCCTATGAAGCCTTTCATGAACTCCTCACAGGTAAAAAAATGACGAGCCAAAAAGTTGTGGTAATAGTGGTATTTAGGTTGGCTTGGTTGTATCGCAAACAGAAGTAAAGACTGAGCGGCGCTTCGGATATTGCTGTGTCTTGATTCACGATCGTGCAACTTTGTATCGGTCCCTTGGCTTCATGCTCCGCCCAATGCAGTATATCAAAAGGTACAGTAACTCTACACATCCCTTTGTGGATGCAAAGGGAGAACCACTGCGTCTGTATTTATAGGGTAATCACAGAGCGCTCCACAAGGTCGTGCTAGAATCGCCGTGAGCGGGCGAAAAGCGTCGAGTCAAAGATCTGGGGTCCGGATTGGCTGGCATTCTGACCAATCAGGGCACGCCTTCGTGCGGTTTGAGTCCTGCACGTGACACCCATCCAAACGATGTGATGTTCGGTCATTAGGGACGGCTGGCCTCTGTACAGATATGTCTTCCATTGGCCTTTTATATACGACGTCGGACCGTCCGGCAGTCTTTCGATGACCTGGTTGCGACACTTTCGTTTGATTACTGGGCCCACTCGCTTCCCAAGAACTAAACAGGATTTGCGCGTTTTGCGTAGATCTGACTATCGCAATGCAGTTCAGTGGTTAACAATGAAGACAACTAAGTAAACCGGCTTTCGGGGTTTATTTTTGGTGTTTTTACTGAAGTCGGGCGTACAGGAGCTGAAGCTGAAGCGGTCAGCCCTAGTGGTGGAACCTGGGGAGAGCGGATCCAAACTTGGGTGGGATAAGGTAGAAGAGGGGAAGACTTGAAAACGTAAGTAGATAGGCGTTATCAGTATCGCGTTTTCGCTTACCCTCCATGCTGTATGCAACAATCAGTCGATCAACTAATCAACTTATCATCTACAAACGGTGTGCCATAGGCACATTTGTTCTGGCTGCTACAGTTTCCATCACCGGAGAGTGGGGGGTGCGGAAGATACAGCCAAAACTTGGGAGCAGTGGAATGTTCAGTTGGTTTGAGAATCGGGTTGCCACGCATTGAAAGCGTTAGCTTTGATGCACGAGCGCCACTGACTGCGCGATAGGAACACTTCCCCCAGTGTCATTAACTATTGGTGAGTGAAGTCCCGAAGTCCCCACCAGGGAGAAGGCAGGGGTCGACCCTACTAAGTCTCCCGTTTAGTGTTTTCATACTTAGTTGCCAGGTCATACACCATTCAAGTCTCGGTCCCTACCACACAACTACAGGGCTGGGTAAAATAGCGCTGTATGCAATCCGCAGGTAACACCACGCGACGAACGAACTTGTATGATATTATTACCAAATCTACGCATCATGGTGGTACGTGGATTGACATACTGCCAAGGTGCCTGGTCCGAGATAGAAGGACGTTTACGGTTTTCGACCAGATTCAGTCTATTCATGGAAGATTGCTCGGTAATATGTAGCTCACTTAACTGAGAAGCGCCCAGGTCGCGACGAGCACATAGGCGACTTGTATAATGACCAGATAAATGTCGCACTCAGTGTTCCGTACTCTCTTCGCGAATTTGCTTGCACACCCCAACGAACATGGATCTTGTCATGAGCAGTGGTTTCGACTGAGGTCAGAAAAACTATGTCAGAGAATGGCCACGATGGTGGGTGCAGATCTCTCGAACCCCAAATAATGAAAAGTCTGAGAATTGGGATAGAGTGTTGATGAATAATTAAAACCCGAGAAATGGAGAAAGCCTATGTAACAGGAAACAATCGCAGCCTGGTCCAGCTTATCTGATACGCTGATTCGAGATGGATAGGTATTGATGGAATGATCTCCGGAAAAAGCGAGCTCCAATAACTTCACAAAAAGACAATCTTGAACGATGGGCCGAACACTGAATAATTTCGAGAAATACACTCGGTTGCAAATCGATTTGGTTTTCACGAGAGACTCAACTGAATCTCTCGGTTACGATGTTTTTATTGAGCCCCCCGTGAAAACTAAATTGATTTACAAACAAGTGTATTTCTCAAAAACAGTCGAATTTAGGTTCAAGTAGATCATAAAGTAGACGGAAACTCGGGGGTTGCACCTACATAATGAGCCTCAAGAAGGGCGAAGCCAGTGTGTGCAGTCAAAGAGATTTCAGTAACCTTGTGGGTAGTTCCAATCTGAAGAATTTTTTCGCTGGGCTTCATAAATTCATCCTCCTTTAAAAGGGTCGAGTGGGCCCAAGTGGAACGTCGATACCAGTCCGCCATTGACGATGGCAGTCCGGTGGGCTATTTCAGTGATTCTGTATAATAAATCGCCCGAGCCATGTGGTTTTCGCCATGCATTCTTTGAAGGTGATAAACCTCTAGTGGCTATTCTGATGACTTCACCCCAAAATGTTTTGAGCTACAAAATGATACCGGAAGAATGAACGTCTAGATGGTGGTTCATAATTTCAAGACTTGTGCAACGATGATGTGGGAAAACTTCCAGGCCATAAGTTTAATGACCGGAGATTTCATAGTATTATCTCTCCACCGACGGAAGAATCGGATTCGCAAGAATAAGGCTGCTATCCACTCTGACAGGAGTTTTGTCATAACTTTACTATGCGACAAATACTGTAACTGCGCCATTCCTTCCCGAGACCGACAATGACCGTATTTCTATACGTCCATCGGACACCTTGGCAATCAAAACACTACCGGGGTTTTTGCTAGTAGACATTAGGTGCGTTAGGTATATTAACCTCTTAAGTTCAAATCCTTCCGAAATGAAACTCTACTGCAAAGTTGGTTGTGCACATCGTTCCCGAAAAATTTAGGGCGCCGCTGAAAGATTGGGAGATCGAATGCTCGTACTTGTTCGCGAATTGATCGGTTTGATAGATGAGCTTGCCTACACGGTAGCTGCGTAAGTACCGGTGGACTGATGAATTGGGAAGGCAGCCTGACAACCTCCAACATTTGACACCTATGTGATCAGCTCGGCGGTCCAACATGGATCAGAGCAGTGGTCGTTGCCTACAGCAGGTCTTGAAAGAATGTGCTCTTGAACAAAGGTGCTCCCAAAACATTGTGAGAGTTGAGTATCACCATCAGGTTAGCAATTCCGAAGTATCCCTGTTGGTCTTCGGGAAAGTCGACTCTCCTTCGGAAGATCAGCGGGTCATACTCCACAGGTTACGTTGGTCACGTCACGTATTCCGTATGGAAGAAGACATTTTGCCTTATAGAGTTCTGTTCATAGCCTTGTATGAGATGAAAAGAACCAATAGGAGGTCAGTCCATGATTTTGCAACAAATCAATGAACTCAGTCGCGTTGTTAAACGCAGCCTCCCCGAATGGATGCCCCGGGACGAGATTAGGTTCTGCTAAAATGCATGTACCACTGACTGACAACCAGTAAAGGAAGATCTTAAACAAGAGTTTCCTGGCCATTGTGAGAACATTTTCTTCCGGATGGTAGAGTTTGACATAGTCCCCATTCCGCCAAGCGATGCCCTGAACACATCGTTGGTGATCCACGAAGCTCCGCTATGTAGCAGAAGCGCTGAAATACATCCATGTTGACCGACCGAACCCCAGCTAAGCTTCTTTGTGCAGTTCTATCTCAGTGAATAGGAATGGCGAGTGGTTGACAGCTGAGTCACATATAGCACGAAAATATGATTAAATAAGATGAAAACATCTTATTGTTCCTAGTGTGAATTCTTAACTGTGGTTAAATATCCATGACCATAGTTAAGTTTGAATAGAGATTTCCGAAAACACGACTGCCGAGTTCCTTCCAAGCTTTTAGTGGAGGAGGTTATATGGGTAGTCAGAAAAAGGTTGTGTAACGCTCCACTGGGGCATAGCGACCACTGTGTGCTGACCTTCGATTTCATCTGCTATTGGGCCAGAAATCCCAAACCTCAAACGTGGTTTCGAGGCTTCTGCCGTGCACACTTCTCAGGAATGCGCATCTTCCTTGGACAAGTCACACTCAGACCAGCTCCGGTGGATGAACTATATAGGACCATTGTCCAGAAAGTCCACGAGGCTGACGCGACATTCGTCCCAAGATAACAGGCACGCACTCGGATGAACCGCAGGCTGCCAAAAAGGATTCGGCGACTTCTGGAAAAAAGATCCCTACTCTTTTTCAAAAAGTTGATCACAGGGGGCACAGAAGATGAGCTGGCATTTCGTAAAATGCGGAATCGCTGTAAGTCGGAAATCCGCCAGTGGAACATACGAAAACAAGCCACCATCCTGGACCTCGCTCGAAAAAACAAAAACGTACTGTTCAAGTACATGAGACATCGCCGCAGAAACAAGCCATCCGCGTTCTCCTTGAGGGACAGAAATGGAGAACCCACAAATGAACCAACAGTGGTATCTGAGGCTTACAGAGAACACTATGCATGTCTATACTCAGCCCCCCCGATGAGGTCCATCCGAGGATCCTGAAAGAAACGTCCTCCACACTGGCAAACCATTTACACTTGGTGTTTCGTCAGTCGCTTGACGAAGGCCGCCTTCCCCCTGCTTGGAAGGAAGCGATTGTCACGCCAATATACAAAACTGGTGACCGACTATCGCCTGGCAGCTATAGGCCTATAAGCCTCACTAGCGTGCCGTGCAAGGTGATGGAACGCATCCTGAAGCGAGCCACCCTAAATCACCTTACTTCCAGCAATCTGATATCTCCAGCTCAACACGGATGTATACACTGATGTATACGTTAACGTAGGCGGATATGTTGTGTGATGTTAAGATTTCCTATTTGCCCAACATCCTATTGCACATATTTCGTGTGGAGAAGAGGTCTCCTGCACTCTATTCCTAAAATTGTTTCATGTTACTTTCTCGCTCGCACTGGCGGTCCATCTTTTCTTGGTCTGTACGCCTCAACCGTTTAACTCGTTTTTTTCTTGGCTTGTGCACAAATGCAATTTAAACGCGTGCACAACTAACCAATCAGAATACTGGCTTGTGCATGAACTGCATCACGCGATTCAGTCTACCTACACAGTCGCTCGATAGACGCTTCCGCCTAAAACAAACTCACCTACACAACCGGATACAAATAACTGCACTTAATGACTCCCCAAAAACCACCAATAAATAAATAAATAAGGAAAAGCATACAGAAAAACGCTGCCCAACTGATAAGTTCAGCATCGAAATTTTTCGACTAATCAGGAGGGATTATACGGGGCAGGACGCTCTGATGCGCCGTACGCTAGAGGGATTCACGGACTTATACACACTGTCGAGGCTTTTGCCCAAGTTTCCTGGGTTGGTTTTGTTCTTTTCGTTCAGCGGCTGTCGTTCGCCTGAAAGGCACAAGTGTAAAAAGTGAGTAACACTGCTCTTTATGTTCTCAGCGCCGGGAATTAGGCTTTCCAGAGCAAGGGTTCGCATAAATGAATGTCTTATAGTGCTTTGAACTGGGTTCCAGAGGGGGCGTTGACAACCGTCGGAGGAAGGTCATTCCACGGAGCTAATACCTGAGATGAGAAAAGATTTTGCCCAATACATGTGTGCGCTCTGAGCCTGAAAATAACCTCACCATCCCCCCGCAGTGTGTTTGCTGGGTCAACGGTGAAAAACCTGCTGGCCAAGCTTTGTTCAAACAGAACATAAGTAACAATTAAGTCCCCTCGGGGGCAACGATGCACGAGAGGAAAGAGATAAAGCACTACGACTCGCGTTTCGTTGTCCACGGATTTGGAGTCGGCAACCATTTTGTAGCGGCTCGTTGGACATGTTCTATAAGGGTGACGTCGTTCGTGCGCCCCGAGTAGACAACTTGATCGGTGAATTCAAGAAGTGGCCTGAAGTAGGCTCCGTAGAGTATTTGGGAGTCCGTGCGAGTAATGCGGGAGGGGGTGTGCTAAATCATGAGTAAAATAGCGAATGCCTTTTGGGTAGCTTTCTCATTATGCAGTGAGAACGACAAGTTTGATGAGAACCAGATACCCGAATTCCCCTTGGCGTCTGTCCTCAAAATGTTTTCTGGTACTTTCTCGCCATGCACGAAAAAGGCATCTACAGAGTCTCCTCCAAATGACATATGGACGCACTTAGCGTCATTCAGGGGAAAGTATCATTCCAACGACCACTGCCTGACAACTTCTACATCCATTTGGAGGGCAGTGGCACTGGAATACCAGGATCTCATGTTGTCCACTAAAAGCAGGCATGGGCATGCAACATCAACCCATTCTGCGCGTTGGGGCCCGACGAGGCCCATGTAAGGATCCTGGAAGAAACGTCCTCCACACTGGCAAACCATTTACACTTGGTGTTTCGTCAGTCGCTTGACGAAGGCCGCCTTCCCCCTGCTTGGAAGGAAGCGATTGTCACGCCAATATACAAAACTGGTGACCGACTATCGCCTGGCAGCTATAGGCCTATAAGCCTCACTAGCGTGCCGTGCAAGGTGATGGAACGCATCCTGAAGCGAGCCACCCTAAATCACCTTACTTCCAGCAATCTGATATCTCCAGCTCAACACGGATGTATACACTGATGTATACGTTAACGTAGGCGGATATGTTGTGTGATGTTAAGATTTCCTATTTGCCCAACATCCTATTGCACATATTTCGTGTGGAGAAGAGGTCTCCTGCACTCTATTCCTAAAATTGTTTCATGTTACTTTCTCGCTCGCACTGGCGGTCCATCTTTTCTTGGTCTGTACGCCTCAACCGTTTAACTCGTTTTTTTCTTGGCTTGTGCACAAATGCAATTTAAACGCGTGCACAACTAACCAAGCAGAATACTGGCTTGTGCATGAACTGCATCACGCGATTCAGTCTACCTACACAGTCGCTCGATAGACGCTTCCGCCTAAAACAAACTCACCTACACAACCGGATACAAATAACTGCACTTAATGACTCCCCAAAAACCACCAATAAATAAATAAATAAGGAAAAGCATACAGAAAAACGCTGCCCAACTGATAAGTTCAGCATCGAAATTTTTCGACTAATCAGGAGGGATTATACGGGGCAGGACGCTCTGATGCGCCGTACGCTAGAGGGATTCACGGACTTATACACACTGTCGAGGCTTTTGCCCAAGTTTCCTGGGTTGGTTTTGTTCTTTTCGTTCAGCGGCTGTCGTTCGCCTGAAAGGCACAAGTGTAAAAAGTGAGTAACACTGCTCTTTATGTTCTCAGCGCCGGGAATTAGGCTTTCCAGAGCAAGGGTTCGCATAAATGAATGTCTTATAGTGCTTTGAACTGGGTTCCAGAGGGGGCGTTGACAACCGTCGGAGGAAGGTCATTCCACGGAGCTAATACCTGAGATGAGAAAAGATTTTGCCCAATACATGTGTGCGCTCTGAGCCTGAAAATAACCTCACCATCCCCCCGCAGTGTGTTTGCTGGGTCAACGGTGAAAAACCTGCTGGCCAAGCTTTGTTCAAACAGAACATAAGTAACAATTAAGTCCCCTCGGGGGCAACGATGCACGAGAGGAAAGAGATAAAGCACTACGACTCGCGTTTCGTTGTCCACGGATTTGGAGTCGGCAACCATTTTGTAGCGGCTCGTTGGACATGTTCTATAAGGGTGACGTCGTTCGTGCGCCCCGAGTAGACAACTTGATCGGTGAATTCAAGAAGTGGCCTGAAGTAGGCTCCGTAGAGTATTTGGGAGTCCGTGCGAGTAATGCGGGAGGGGGTGTGCTAAATCATGAGTAAAATAGCGAATGCCTTTTGGGTAGCTTTCTCATTATGCAGTGAGAACGACAAGTTTGATGAGAACCAGATACCCGAATTCCCCTTGGCGTCTGTCCTCAAAATGTTTTCTGGTACTTTCTCGCCATGCACGAAAAAGGCATCTACAGAGTCTCCTCCAAATGACATATGGACGCACTTAGCGTCATTCAGGGGAAAGTATCATTCCAACGACCACTGCCTGACAACTTCTACATCCATTTGGAGGGCAGTGGCACTGGAATACCAGGATCTCATGTTGTCCACTAAAAGCAGGCATGGGCATGCAACAACATCTGGAAGGTCGTTGACGCATATCAGAAATGCTCAAACAGAGCCCTGGGGAACTCCAATGAAGATCGGCGCTGGAGAAGATTACATAGTACCTACCTTCACTCAAAATGATCTGTCTGATAGGAACGCCTTGATCCAGCTATAGTGGATTACGTAAGACTCGAGTTTGTGGAGCAGTCGGACGTGCGGAACTCGAACGAATGCCTTCAAGAAGTCGAAAAATACGGCATCCCATACGAGCCCCTCGTACTTGGGTAAGCTGTCCATAAACAGGAGCATGTTTTCCATGCTATAACCGTTT